CCAGGAAGCAGAGGTTGCAGTGAGCCAAGATCACACCATTGCACTCCAGCCTGGGCAACAAGAGCAAAACTCCATCTCGAAAAACAAAATAATAAAAAAATATAATTTGTGGCTTTATACATACACATTTAACACTGTCGGCGCGTAATAATGGTTGACACACATTGAGCTCTCATTCCATGCCCAAGATACAGTGCTAAGCATTGTACACGGATCTTCCTGAATCCTTTCAATGCCTTGACACAAGCGTTTTTATCCCCATTTTATCAGTGAGGAAATGGGGAAATTAAGTGACTTGCCCAGAGTCACATAGCTAGGGAGGGGCTAGAGCTAGGATTCAAACTCAGGCAGACCACCTCCTAAGTAACCTCCCAGGGAATACCCGCCTCCAGCACAGAGTCAAGTGGGAAGTGTGTCTGAGTCGGGAGTAAGTGGGGATAGCCTGTACCAGCGGGAACCTCCTTGCTCATGTGGCACTGTGTGCCTTTCACAACTCACTTCATTTGTTGCCCTGGACAAGCTGATGCCAGATGTTTTTGGGCCTGAGCAGAGGAGGGCTGTGGTCTGACTCAGGCAGCTGCAGAAAGAATGGACTGGGGTCCAGGCACAGTGGCTCATGCCTGTAGTCCTAGCACTTTGGGGCGCCAAGGTGGGCAGATCTTGAGGTCAGGAGATCGAGACCATCCTGGCCATGGTGAACCCCTGTCTACTAAAATTAAAAAAAAAAAAATTAACTAGGCATGGTGGCACACACCTGTAGTCTCTCTCCTCTCAGGAGGCAGGGGAATCGCTGGTATCTGGGAGATGGAGGTTGCAGTGAGCTGAGATCGTGCCACTGCACTCTAGCCTGACAAAAGAGCAAGACTCTGTCTCAAAAAAAAAAAAAAAGAATGGACTAGGGACAGGACGGGCAGGGATACCCGGAGGCGGCTGCTGTCCAGGTGGGAGGTGATGGTGGGGGTGACCAGGCGGAGAGTGAGGTGGCCACTCATGACCTGCCTTGTTCCACTTACTATCCCCAGTGCAGAAGGAAAAGCTGGGAGCCTTTCAAGTAGTGTGTGCTGGTGAGGTGGTCAGAGCCAAAATGTGACTCCAGTGTGGAAGAATGAAGATATCTGGTCCGTGCTGTCCCTTGTTCCAGCAGAGGGCACTGTGGGACAGTGTCAATAGGATACAAAGACATTGATCCTATTGGTGCCTTAATTGAAACTGCAACCCCAGGGCCACCCAGATTGACAGGACAGAGCCTGTGATGTCATTGCTTTTCATAATCAGTTTCAAGACTACTGTGCTTATGATAAGACAGATTTGTTTGTTAATTACTGGGGCCAAAAGTGGGATCATTTTATTCCTTCCATGCCTGCCTCTTGCCCAGGTGCTATTTGGTGAGGGTGGGCTGTGTGCTTAGAGCTGAAGTCATGACATGTTATTTTTGCCACCTCCTGTGTTCGTTGACTTAGGCGAGCAGATTTTTGCAATTAATACTTATCCTCCTTAGTCTTGATGTTGTTGTTGAGACAGAGTCTCATTTGATCACCCAGGCTGGTGCCCAGTGGCGCGATCTTGACTCACTGTGACCTCTGCCTCCCGAGTTCAAGTGATTCTCCTGCTTCAGCCTCCTGAGTAGCTGGGATTACAGGCATGAGCCACCATGCTGGCTAATTTTTCTATTTTAATAGAGATGGGGTTTTATGTTGGCCAGGCTGGTCTCAAATTCCTGACCTCAGGTGATCCGCCCGCCTCGACCTCCCAAAGTGCTGTAATTACAGGTATCAGCCACTGTGCCTGGCCTCCTCCTTAGTGGTTAAACCACAGCCCCAAATGTACTTTGGGTGCTTGTAACAAGCCCCCTGGGGAAGGATTTTTCGTTGTGCATTCTTGGTGTGGTGCTGGTCCAGTGCATGGCATGACCTGGTGGCCAGCAGCATGCTGTGGCTGTAACACCATGAGCTGGTGTTAGGATGTGGTGTTAGGTGTTAGCAGGGGTTATTTGGCAAGTAAAATTGAAGATTAGCATGCCTGGTGATTTAGCAATTTCTGCCCTAGGTATAAACCCAAAAGAAAAATGTGTTCATGTGCACCGAGGTGCTTCTGTGAGGGTTCCTAACAGCACTATTCAGTTGGCAAATACTGGAAGCAGTTGTGGTGCTCATCAACAGCGAAAAGGATTAAACCTATCATAGTAAAACATCAGCCTCTCGCAACAGCGCAGTTGCATCCCACATGTGTAGCATTCAGAGAAAGAGCCCGATAACAAAAGAATACACTGCCTGGCCAGGCGCAGTGGCTCACACCTGTAATCTCGGCACTTTGGGAGCCCAAGACAGGAGGATCACTTGAGCCCTGCAGTTGCAGACCAGCCTGGTCAATGTAATGGGACTCTGTCTCTACAAAAAATTTATAAAATTAGCCAGACATATAGTGGCACGTGCCTATAGTCCCAGCTACTCAGGAGGTTGAGGCAGGGGGATCTCTTACACCCAGGAGGTCGAGGCTGCAGTGAATCATGATTGTGTCACTCCATTCCAGCCTGGGCAACAGAGTAAGACCTTGTCTTCAAAAAAAAAAAAAAAAAGTACAAACTGCTTGGAGCTCAAAACTAGAGAGAAATACATGCTAAACGATGGTGTTGAAAGTCAGGATAGAGTTACCTTTGGGGAAAAGGTATCAGGTACGAAAGGGCTGTGGGTGCTGGAAATACACTTCTTGATTGGGTTGGTGATTACCCAGGTATTCACTTTGTGATAATTTCTTTGCCTTCATATCCATGTGTTATATACTTTTTTAATTTTTTTTTTTAATGGAGACAAGGTTTCACCATGTTGGGCAGGCTGGTCTCGAACTCCTGACCTCAGGTGATCCACCTGCTTCAGCGTCCCAAAGTGCTGGGATTACAGGCATGAGCCACCACGCCCAGCTACTTTTTTTAAATTTTAGGACAGAGTCTCGCTTTGTCACCAGGCTGGAGTGTAGTGGCATGATGTCAGCTCACTGCAACCTCTGCCTACCAGGTTCAAGCAATTTTCCTGCCTCAGCCTCCTGAGTAGTTGGGACTACAGGCACACTCCACCATGCCCAGCTAATTATTGTATTTTTAGTAGAGACAGGGTTTCACCTTGTTAGCCAAGATGATCTTGATCTCTTGACCTCATGATTCGCCCGCCTCAGCCTCCCAAAGTGCTGGGATTACAGGTGCAAGCCACTGTGCCTGGCCTATATACTTTATGTATTTTGATTATACCTTACCATACACATACCAAAAAACAAAACAAAACCTCATAACAAACCGTGAGCTTTGGAGAAATCAGGACTGGGTTGGGAATCCTGGTTGCCATTTTGTCAGCTGTGGTGACTTTGAATAGGGCACATAACCTCTTGCAATTTCAGTTTCCTCCTCTGTAAAACAGAGATAAAACCTCCCTTGAACAGACCTTTACATACAGTTAGACAATTACTACATTACCTGGAGCACAGTGCAGTGAACTGTGCCTTCTTAAATGTGACTTGTTATTAAGGTATATCACTTAGACATTTTTTTGGCTGCAATGCAGTAGAAAACCTGACTAACATTTTGAGACAGAGTCTTGCTCTGTCACCCAGGCTGGAGTGCAATGGTGCAATCTTGGCTCACTGCAACCTCTGCCTCCCAGGTTCAAATGATTCTCCTGTTGCAGCCTCCTGAGTAGCTGGGATTACAGACATGCACCACCAAGTCCGGCTAAGTTTTGTGTTTTTACTGGAGATGGGGTTTTGCCATGTTGGCCAGGCTGGTCTCAAACTCCTGACCTCAAGCAGTCTGCCTGTCTTGGCCTCCCAAAGGGGGCTTTCCTTTTATTAGAGGGAAGTCTGCCACAGAAGTCCTCATTAAGCACAATTCTCCAACATCTTATTGCCTAGAATTGGTCACATGGTTGGCTTTAGGAAAAACTTGGAAAGCAACATCGGGAATGGGAATGAGATGACTGTGATTGGCTTTGACTAAAGGTTTTCATCCCTGACTACACATCAGAAGCACCTGAGATGGTTTAAAAATATGCCATGCATACAGACATGCATGTCTGACCCCATCCCAGACCAACCAAGTTAGAATCACTGGTGGTGTTTTCTTTCTTATTTATTTATTTGCTGCCCAAGCTGGAGTGCAGTGGTACCATCTTGCCTCACTGCAACCTCCGCCTCCTGGGTTCAAGCAATTCCTCTGCCTCTAGCTAGGATTACATGCATGTGCCACCCCACCGGTTAATTTTTATAGTTTTAGTGGAGATAGGATTTCATTATGTTGACCAGGGTGGTCTCGAATCTTGACCTCAAGTGATCTGCCCACCTTGGCCTCCCAAAGTGCTGGGATTACAGGCATGAGCCACCATGCCTGGCCTTTTTTTTTTTTTTTTTAATGAAACTGGTTGAAAACCAGTGCCACAGTTCAAGATCTAAAACGGTGCCAGTATTCAAGGCAGGCGGGTGTTTTACATGAGTATTTACGGTAATATGTATATAATACAGTGTTACTGTAATAATGACGAGAGCCCACTTCCTGGTGGGGCCTGTTTTATTCATTATACTTCCTACTGCCTTGCATAATTCATCTCCTTCATTCAAATGTCAGCTCCACAAGGACAAGGCTTTTTGTTCATTGCCCCTAGAATAGGACTCAGTGCCTCATAGGTAGTGCTCAGTCAGTATGTGTTAAACAAATGAAGGCAGTTTACATTATTATCTCATTTAATCCACCCAACACTCCTTCAAGGTTATGATACCATCCTGTACCCATTTCACAGAAGAGCAACATGAGGCTCAGAGATACGAAGTCACTTGGTCAAGACCACACAGCAAGGAGGCAGCAGGTTCAAGTACTGCCTCAGACCTAGGGCTTTCTGACCTTAAAGCACAAACTTCCAGTCATCACACGTGTCTATTTCAAAACAAGATACCTCTCATATGCTCTAATCCCTTTCTAGGTCCTGAGAGCCCCCTAACTTTCCCTTCTATCCCCTGAGTAGCTCATCACCCTGCGGGGCTCCATCCTGGAAGATGCCACACCCACAGCCACCAAGCATGGGACTGGGCGAGGTCTGCCCTTGAAGGATGCCTTGGAGTATGTCATCCCTGAGCTCAACATTCATTGCCTGCGGCTGGCCCTCAACACCCCAAAGGTGACGGAGCAGCTGCTGAAGCTCGATGAGCAAGGGGTGAGCCAGGGGCTGGAGGTGGGAGGGCTGCTGGAAAAGTAGCTGGCAACCCCACTCCTGGTACCATTTTCTTTTGTCTTTGCAAGTAACAGTAACCTACTTAAGCTGGTTTCAGCAAAAGCAGGGATTCAAATCAAATTCTAGTGGTGCTAAGAGCAGGAATGTAACTGGGTCTTCTATAGGAGGGAGATTGTCTAGGGGTGAGATAGCTGCTAGGTCCGCATGTGTGCATGCATATATGTGTCTGTGGTGGGGGGTTAGTGTGTGTCTTTCCTCCCCACTCCTCATGCTGGCTCCCTCTGCTTCTCTCACCTCTCCCACAGCTCCCAGTCTGTTAGAATTTCAGCCGCACACAGACCCCAGCAAGCTGACTCTGGTCACAGGAGAGCCATTGATTGGGCAATGCATGGGTCAGCTGTCTGTCCGTGGCCCAGTCACCTGTGACCAGGGGAATCTGGGATACCTAAAGCAAACATGGTTATTGGGAGCCCATTCCCTAAAAAAGATACTGAGTATAAGCCTTGAGCCCTCCAGATTTTGCTTTTGCAGAATCTCAGCTCATCCCAGTCCACCTACTGTGGGAAGCTGGCCAAGGCAACAGTCCCTTTCATGCAAGCATGCCATCACCAGCCATCCTCCAACCGCCATAGTGAGTAAAGGTGGCCTGGACACCTCGTTGTGCTTCTCTGGAGTAGAAGGGAGGGGGAGGGACAACTGGGACATGCCACCATGCCCCAACACTATTTTCCTTCCTGTCTGGCTGTGGCTCTGGGTTCCCCAGTGGTCCCAGCAGGTTCCAGGGCTGAAGGCCTCAGAAATGCCCCTTGCTCTTTTCCCTCTGCCGTCCCTGCCTGGCCTGCCTCCGCAAAGCCGCTCTTGCCTCTGCAGCTCTGCCGGAAGCACAAGGTGGGCATCCTCTATTGCAAGGCCGGCCAGAGCTCCGAGGAGGAGATGTACAACAACGAGGAGGCCGGCCCCGCCTTCGAGGAGTTCCTCTCCCTCATCGGCGAGAAGGTCTGCCTGAAGGGCTTCACCAAGTACGCCGCCCAGCTGGATGTCAAGAGTAAGTGGGGGCCAGTTAGGTCACAGTGAGCCACCGCCACATGCCCACTCGACGGGCAAAGCTTAAAAGGCCTGGGGATGCCAAGGTGGGGATGTGGAGCAGTGGGCACTCTCAGATTTCACTTGTAGGAACACGAATAAGTACAGCCACTTTGTTTTTTCAGAATTTTTTTTTTTTTTGGTTTTGGGATTCTTTTTTTTTTTTTTGAGACAGAGTCTCACTCTGTGGCCTAGGCTGGAGTGCAGTGGCATCATCCTACCTCACTGCAACCTCCACCTCCCAGATTCAAGTGATTCTCCTGCGTCAGCCCCCCGAGTAGCTGTGACTACAGGTGTGCACCACCACACTGGGCTCCAATTTTTGTATTTTTCGTAGAAATGGGGTTTCACCATCTTGGCCAGACTGGTCTTGAACCCCTGACCTCAAGTGATCCACCCACCTCTGCCTCCCAGAGTGCTGGGATTACAGGTGTGGGCCACCACGCCTAACCATGTGCAGCCACTTTGGAAAACAGTACAGCACGTTCAAGTCCAGTTTGAAGAGACCCTGCTGTGTGACTCAGCTCCTACATGCCTAGACATGCACTGTCTAATGTGCAGCACCTCCATGCACCCAGTGCACACTGGCAGAGTCGTGGTGTGTTCACCTAGTGGAGATGAACTGGCACAGTGGGCATCAGCGTGGAAGAGAGCCACATGCTTCGGGCTGTGCACAGACAGCAAGCCTCAGAAGAGCGGGACCTGAATGATGCCTTTTTTCTTTTTTTTTTTTTTGAGACGGAGTTTCGCTCTTGTTACCCAGGCTGGAGTGCAATGGCGCGATCTCGGCTCACCGCAACCTCCGCCTCCTGGGCTCAGGCAATTCTCCTGCCTCAGCCTCCTGAGTAGCTGGGATTACAGGCGCCTGCAATCATGCCCAGCTAATTTTTGTATTTTTAGTAGAGATGGGGTTTCACCATATTAGCCAGGCTGGTCTTGAACTCCTGACCTTATGATCCACCTTTCTTGGCCTCCCAAAGTGCTGGGATTACAGGCATGAGCCACCGTGCCCGGCCCATACTAATTATTTTTTATAGAGACAAGATCCCGCTATGTTACCCAGACTGGTCTCAAACACAAGGCCTCAAAGGATCCTTGGCCTCCCAAAGTGCTGCAACTACACACATGAGCCACTATACCTGGCCTAACAATTAGTTTTAAAACTAATTCTTAAACTAAAACTAATTTCAAAAATTTTTAAAAACCAGTAGGCCCAGCAGGGTGACTCACAGCTGTAATCCCAACACTTTGGGAGGCCAAGGCAGGAGGACTGCTTGACACCAAGTGTTCAAGACCAGCCTGGGCAATAAAGCAAGGCCCTAGCTCTGAAAAAAAAAAAACAAAACCAGCAATATATTGTTTGGGGATATGCTCTGATATAGTGGAACTTTGAGTAAAAACAGAGCCAGGGGTGGTGGCTCATGCCTGTAATCCAGCACTTTAGGAGGCTAAGGCAGGAGGATTGCTTGAGCCTGGGAGTTTGAGGCTGCAGTGAGCTATGATCATGCCACTATGCTCCAGCCTGGGTAGCAGAGCAAGACCCCATCTCAAAAATAAATAAATAGGCCAGACTTGGTGGCTCACACCTGTAATCCCAGCACTTTGGGAGGCCGAGGTAGGTGGATCAGGAGTTTGAGACCAACCTGGCCAATATGGTGAAACTCCATCTCTACTAAAAAATACAAAAATTAGCCAGGGGTGGTGGCATGAGGCTGTAGTCCCAGCTGCTTGGGAGGCTGAGGCAGGAGAATTGCTTGAACCCAGGAGGCAGAGGTTGCAATGAGCTGAGATTGCACCACTGCACTGTAGCCTGGTGACAGAGTGAGACTTCGTCTCAAAATTAAAATAAAATAAGCCAGGCTCAGTGGCCCATGCCTGTAATTCCAGCGCTTTGGGAGGCTGAGGCGGGCAGATCACCTGAGATCAGGAGTTCAAGACCAGCCTGGCCAACATGGTAAAACCACTTCTCTGCTAAAGACATGAAAAAAATCAGCTGGGCATGGTGGTTCATGCCTGTAATCCCGGCTGCTTGGGAAGCTGAGGCAGGAGAATCTCTTTTTTTTTTGAGACGGGGTTTTGCTCTTGTTACCCAGGCTGGAGTGCAATGGCGCGATCTCGGCTCACCGCAACCTCCGCCTCCTGGGCTCAGGCAATTCTCCTGCCTCAGCCTCCTAAGTAGCTGGGATTACAGGCACGCGCCACCATGCCCAGCTAGTTTTTTGTATTTTTAGTAGAGACGGGGTTTCACCATGTTCACCAGGATGGTCTCGATCTCTTGACCTCGTGATCCACCCGCCTCGGCCTCCCAAAGTGCTGGGATTACAGGCTTGAGCCACCACGCCCGGCCAGGAGAATCTCTTGAACCTGGGAGGCAGAGATTGCAGTGAGTCGAGATTGCACCATTGCACTCCAGCTTGGGCAACAGAGCGAGACTCCATCTCAATGAATAAATGAACGAATGAATGTATGGGAAAAATAAGGGAACACTGGAGACAATATGCAAGATAGTGTTGGCTGTCCAGGGAGAGGTGCGTGTGTCTGGGGAATGGTGCTCACATTAGAGTGTGGGTGATGATCTCTTTCTTAAGGTGGTGGCACATAGGGCATGCTCATTGCAGCAGTTTGTGTGTATCATGTGTATGTGTACATAAATATATATGATATATGGGGCTAGGCACAGTGGCTTACACCCATAATCCCTACATTTTGGGAGGCTGAGGTGAGTGGATCATCTGAGGTCAGGAGTTCGACCAGCCTCACCAACATGGTGAAACCCCATCTCTACTAAAAATACAAAAATTATCCAGGCGTGGTGGCGGGCACCTGTAATCCCAGCTATTTGGAAGGCTGAAGCAGGAGAATCACTTGAACACAGGAAGCAGAGGTTGCAGTGAGCCCACATTGGGCCATTGCTCTCCAGCCTGGGTGACAGAACGAAACTGTGTCTCAAAAAAAAAAAAAGAATAGCTCTGGAGCCCAACAGCCTGAGTCCTGGTCCAGACTCTACCACTCATTGCAGTGTGGATTTGGGAAGTCACGCCCTCTCCATGCCTCAGTTTCCCGCTCTGAAACATGGGCTTAATAAGCAGGTTTGCCTCATCCTGGTCATAACCCTCCCTACTATTAGAGAGAACCCATATCCTGATTCTCAGTGATAACCATTTCTTTGCTTTTCTTCATAGTGTTGCTACTTACGTACGATTCCTGATGGGGGTAATTTGACCTGCTTTTGCACGTCACGTGAATGGGATCACACAGTGTGTGCTGCTTTGTGTCAGCCTCTTTCACTCAACACTATATTTAGAGGATTTCCCCGTGCTGCAGCCACAACCGTTCCTTTTCCTGGCTGTATATTTTTCCACAGTGTGAATTTACCAGTGTGTTCACCCATTCTCTTGACTGACACTTGAAGACTCATGTACGCACATCCCAGGACACATGTATATGACTTCTCTGGGCCGTGCTTCTAGGAGAGGAAGTGCTAGGTGATGAGTGAAGCCTATCTTGAGGTTTAAGAGAGATTGCTAAAAAGTTTTCCAAAGCAGTTGTACCAATTTACACACCTAACCAACCACCTCAAGAGTTCCGGTTGCTCCATATCCTCACCAACCCTTGGTGCTGTCAGATTTTTTAATATTTACTAATCTGGTGGGTACAAAGCAGTGAGGTTTCCTTGGTATCTAAATGTATTTCATTTTTAACAGTGGATTGAAGCAAAAGACCAAGTTAAAGACCAGCACAGATGGTACGTGAGATATGGCAGAAACCCAGAGGTTTTGGAAATGGGGTCCTAATTGGCGTTTCTGTTTCAGCCGACTCTACGGGAACGCACTCCCTCTACACGACATACCAGGACTACGAGATCATGTTCCACGTCTCCACCCTGCTCCCTTACACCCCCAACAACAGGCAGCAGGTCAGTGATTTTCTGCAAAGGCACAGCTGCTGGATGTTGGCTGCCCACCCACCAGCATCGGCCTCTCCCAATACCGTCCTGTGGAACAGATGGAGGCCCTTGGCTTTGGAGACCATCTTCACTGGGGTCATTTTACCTGGGGGTTAGAGACCAGGCCAGGTGTGGTTCCATGTCAGTTTGGCCCCAGTCTTTCCTGCTGCTCCTCAGGCACCCTGTCTGGCTCCTGCTACCCTGACTCCCCTCCAGGGCCCCTTGAGTCGTCACTGGTCTTACGAAGAAGAGTGAATCAGTCAACATCACTTTGACTGCAAGTAGCAGAAACTCACACCAAACTGGCTTAAGTAGAAAACGATAGTTACTGGATTATATAACTCTATGATTCTGGAGAGGGCTCACTTCAGGTCTGGTTGGATCCAGGGACTCTAACAACATTAGGAATTCTCCCCATTTCTCACCTCCACTTTTCTTTGTAGCAGCTTTATTCACAGGTGCAGGGCAAAGATGCCTCCCAGCAGCCCCAGGGTCACCTCCCACCAGCTTAGCCACCCCAGTGGAAAGAGCACTGTTCTTTCCAGTTGTCCCAGAAGTGTTTCAGAACTGAGTCTCATTGGACCATTCACACGCCAGTCCCTGAGCCAGTCTTGGAGCCTGGGGTGGGGGTGGAATGGGCAGACTGGCCACGCCTGAGACTCACGTCCACCCCTGGAGAGGGCGAGTGGCGCCAGCTCAACTCGAAACATGGACGGAGGTTGGGGAGGTGCTTTCCCGAACTGGGTGGGTGTGGAGGAGGAAGGGATACCAGGTGGGCGAACCATTAAACACCCACTGCCAAGTGGCTGCAGCTGTGACCCAGCCCCTCTCTTGGACCCACCTTGCAGGCTGGGCCCAGGGAACAGTTCTTCCAGTTCCTAATGAACAGAAGCCACAGAGTGTTGACAATTTAGGAAGTAAGTGTACATATTTTCCCAGTTGGCACAAGTGACACTGTAGGCCAAAAATGATCGAATACTGATTTCCTAAGGTTCATCTAAAAGCATGCTGTTAAGAGATTTGGTCTTAGGCTAGGCTTAGTGGCTCACAACTGTAATCCCAGCACTTTGGGAGGCCAAGGCAGGCGGATCACCTGAGGTCAGGAGTTCAAGACCAGCCTGGTCAATATAGTGAAACCCCATCTCTACTAAAAATACAAAAATTAGCCAGGCATGGTGGCAGGCACCTGTAGTCCCAGCTACTCAGGAGGCTGAGGCAGGAGAACCACTTGAACCTGGGAGGTGGAGGTTGCAGTGAGCTGAGATCCACTGCACTCCAGCCTGGATGAGAGAGCAAGACTCCATCTCAAAAGAAAAAAACAAAAAAGAAGTGGGATAGAATCCAGGCTCTTTCCCTTCATCGCTACATGACTTAGGGAAAATCACTTAACCTCCTCTGTGAGCCTAAGTTTCCTCATCTGCAAAATGGTGCAAAATGAGTTAACATCTCTCAGGGTTAAGAGATTAATTAAGATGATGAATAGAAGATGTGGCTGTGCAGTATCTAGTACAGGACCAGCCACAGTCAGTAGGTACTTTAGCAATTTGATATAATGCCACTGAAACACACATAAAGAACTAACCATTCAGTACTAGGAGCTGAGCTACAAAGCATGTCTGGAGTTCACACTGTGAGCCACATCACTTTGAGCTCCGTGGGACTCCTGTCTGTGGATCTCCTGTGTTGGCAGATTCCTTGACAGTTAAACGACTACTAGAACTGTGCAAATAAGAGCAGTGTAATCTCAGCAAATAAGCCAAATACCATGAATACAGGACCAGCAGGGAAGAGAAGGCATATTAGTCCGTTTTCACGCTGCTAATGAAGACCTACCAGAGAATGGGTAGTTTATGAAGAAAAAGAAGAAGTTTAATGGACTCACAGTTCCAAATGGCTGGGAAGGCCTCACAGTCATGATGGAAGGCAAAGGAGGAGCAAAATCATGTCTTACATGGCGGCAGGCAAGAAAGCTTGTGCAGGGGAACTGCCCTTTATAAAACCACCAGCTCTCATGAGACTTATTTGCTATCACAAGAACAGCATGGAAAAGACCCACCCTCATGATTATATTAGTTCCTACTGGGTCCCTCCCAGAACACATGGGAATTGTGGGAGCTACAATTCAAGATGAACTGTAGGGTGGCGACACAGCCAACCATATCAGAGGGTGAGGGTCTCATAGGACACTCTGAAGCTGCAGCCGTCCTGACTTCAGTCAGCGTCCAGGGAAGGGGTGGTACCTAGAACTGGCCCTGCCAGTGACCTGGGCTCTGAGTCGGCCATTGCCCATGAGTGTGGCTTTGAGCAAGTTGAAGGCCACCAGCCGGTGCTCTCTAGGTCTTATTTATTGAGCACCTACTGTATGCCAGGCACTGCTAGGTACTGAGGATACAGTGCGTGGCAGTGAACAAAATCCCTGTTCTCATGGAGCTGCCATTTCAGTGGGAAGAGACAAGAAACAAAAGGAAGGAGCGAAAGCCATCTGTGCTGAGTGTCAATAAGTGTTAAGTAATGGGGACAGAAAAGTAAAGATCAGGAAGTGTTGTGGTGGGGTGTATCTTGGATAACAGTCAGCAAAGGCCTGCTGGGGAGGGTGACATATCTGCAAGACCAGAGGAGGTGAGGAAGCCGTGTGGGGCCCTGGGAGGAGGGAACAGAGGTGCAGAGGCCTCGAGGAAGTGTTTCTGGCATGGTTGAGGACCAGCAGGAGATGGGTGTGGCTGCAGCCGGTGAGCAGGGGCCATGGGGAATGTCAGAGAAATGACAGGGGCCTGCTGAGCCATGGCAAGGCCTTCATCCTTTATCCTGAATCAGAGGGAGCCATGGGAGGGTTCGTTGCCTGACTCAGGTGTTCCTTTGGCTGTGTGTGAGCAGGGAGTGGGAATGGGGTGGGTGAGGAGCTGTGGCAGTGGTCCAGGCAGGACCCCTCAGGCCAACCTGTGACACTTCCCTGTCCCCCTCTGTTGCCCTTGTCCCAGCTGCTGCGGAAGAGGCACATAGGAAACGACATTGTGACCATCATCTTCCAGGAGCCCGGCGCACTGCCATTCACCCCCAAGAACATCCGCTCACACTTCCAGCACGTCTTCATCATCGTCCGAGCCCACAGTCCCTGCACTGATAACGTCTGCTACAGGTAGGCCCTGCCACACACGGCCCCCAGCAGCGTGCGGAGAGAGGGGCAGGCACTGACCCAAGTGGGTCTAAGTGCAGGGCCACACCCCGTCACCTGTTGTGCTTCTAGAGGAGAGCTCCGTCCACACGTTCCCATACCATCTGAGAGAGTAATTTTTAGCCAGAAAGGGGCATGGCCCCTCAGTTTTGCTAAGGAAACCATGAGGGATTTGTATTTGCTTGGAATCTTTTGTTGTGAGTAACAGAAAACCCATCTCAATGTTGCTTAAGACAAAAAGCCAGTTGCGTACATTGGCTCTCAAAAATGGCACATTTAGGCCTGGCCGGTTCTGTCCCCCTCTCCTGGGGGTCACCTTTCCAGCAGCTCACCTTTCCAGCAGCTCTGAGGCAAACATCCTACCAGTTGCAAATCCCCCAAAATGAGAGCTTTTCTTTCCCAGGAGTTGCATCAGAAGCTCCAGAATTGGGGCTCACTGGCCCAGTTGGAGTCATATGCCTGTCCTACAGCCAAAATCACCAGCCAGTCCTGGGCACCAGGCTTCAAGGACCAAGAGGCACAAGTGATGGTCCAGGGGCAAGTCGGGCGAAGCAGGGACTGCCTGTGGAAGTGGGCCCCACTTGGAAGCTAGAATTGAGGGAGAGTTTGTTGTTTTGAGAGGTGTTTTTTTAGAGACAAGGTCTCGCTCTGTCGCCCATGCTGGAGTGCAGTGCGCTATCATAGCTCACTGCAGCCTTGACCTCCTGGCGTAAAATGATCCTCCAGCCTCAGCCTCCTGAGTAGCTGGAACTACAGGTGTACACTCCTGTGCCTGGCTAATTTAAAAGAAAAAAATTTAGTAGAGGTGGGGTCTCTCTATTTTACTCAGGCTAATCTTGAACCCTGGGCCTCAAGTGATCTTCCAGCCTCAGCCTTCCAAAGTGCTGGGATTATAAGTATGAGCCACTGCACACAGCTGAGATCTTTTCATACCTGTACATAACGTGCTTTTTGTTCTTTCTGATGCTCATATTCCATTGGATGGATGCAAGGTCATCTCCTGTCCTCTGTTGATGGATCTTAAGGTTATTCTCTGATGCCTGCAGTGAACAGTCTTATTTATACTCTCATTGCACCTGGGTCCAAGTACATAGCTGTATAAGAAATTCTAGAAATGGAGATGCTGGAGCAGAGTACACGTGTGTGCACACCAGTAGTCATGGTGGAATTACCACAGGTCTACCAGCTGCCTCTCTCAGCTGGGCGAGGGAAGGGAGGGCATCCTAGTCTGCAGCACTGGCTGCAGAGCACCACTGTGCTGCCCATGTTGTCTGCTGGCTATTGGGAACCAGTAGCTGTGTGGTAGGGCCTCCTTACAGCCATGTCCCTGGACCTGAGATCCCCTCTCCCTGCCTGTCTGTTCCCAGAGCATGCAGCAGCAGCTACAGAGTGCCAGCACTTCAGGCACTGTTGGGGGATGAGATGAGAGAGATTTACACACATGCACACACACATGCACATGCACTCACATGCACGTGTGCACCCATGCACATGCACCCACGTGTGCACACATGCACCCACGCATACACATGCACATGCACACACGGGCAAACATGCACGCGCACATACACACACACACACGCACACACTGGATAAGGAGGCAGCCTTCTTATGGTGCATCAGAGATTGGGGGTTGAGCTGACTTGGAGAGCTTTCTCTTCTCTTCCAGCTGAGTTTGGCCAATGGGAAACACCGGAAGAGGGCAGGAAGCCTGGAAGAAAGAGGCTAGAATATTTATTTATCTTGCCTTCCTCGCTGTGGGGCGGTGATGATAGTGTCAATGGTTGTTATCTTTGGTCCCTTACAACTGCTGCTTCTGTTACGCCACCCCTCTACCAGGGCCACAGCTCTCACCAGGGGAGGTCAGAGGTCCCCACTCTGACCTCCCCTCTCCTACTGGGGTCATCACATCAGCCTGCAGCTGACCTCCCACCCTTCTCGGCTTGCCTCTACATGGTCTTCAGAGTGATTTCTTCTCTGACACACTAATCTTTCTTGTTTTTTATAATTTAATTTAAAATATTTTTATTATGCAATATTTCAAACATTCTGAAAAGTGCAGAAAATCACATAACAGACACCCATGTGCCCACCGCCAGCTTTAACAGATGTTAACATTTTGCTCTGTTTGCTTCAGCTCTCCCTTTTTCCTTCATTTTTAAAGAATGTTATAGATACAACCAAAACTGCTTCTCAGCCGTCCCCCTCCCTTGCTATCCCTCCATCCTCACAGACCTGACCTTGCCTCTTCCCTGTGGAGAGAGCCTGGCCACCGCTCTCCAGCTTACCTTCTCCCAAAACTCCTACTCCCAGTTCCTGGCCCCCAACTGAGTGAATTTCTTTTTTTTTTTTTTTTTTTTTTTTTTTTTGGAGACGGAGTTTCGCTCTTGTTACCCAGGCTGGAGTGCAATGGCACGATCTCGGCTCACCGCAACCTCTGCCTCCTGGGTTCAGGCAATTCTCCTGTCTCAGCCTCCTGAGTAGCTGGGATTACAGGCATGCACCACCATGCTCAGCTAATTTTTTGTATTTTTAGTAGAGACGGGGTTTCACCTTATTGACCAAGATGGTCTCGATCTCTTGACCTCGTGATCCACCCGCCTCGGCCTCCCAAAGTGCTGGGATTACAGGCTTGAGCCACCGCGCCCAGCCCCTCAGTGAATTTCTAATCATCTTTCAAGACTAAACTCAGGGCCAGGTGCAGTGGCTGACACCGTAATCTCAGCACTTTGGGAGGCCGAAGCAGGAGGATACTTGAGCCTAGGAGTTCAGCATTAGCCTGGGCAACATAGGAAGACCCTGTCTCTAAAAAAAATTTTTATAAATTAGCCAGGCGTGCTGGCATGCACCTGTAATCTCAGCTGAGGTGGGAGGATCACGTGAGTCTAGGAGATCGAGGCTAGAGTGAGCCCCCACTGCACTCCAGCCTGGGTGACAGAGCAAGACTCTGTCTCAAAAATAAAGACATGATGTGACTATTGCCACCTCTGACAGTAACCCTGGGTCATGTTGACCTTTCTGTATCTGTCACAGCACAGGGCTTGGCACATAGTGGGTCCTGAAGCCATCTTATGCTTGCTGGAAAGATGCCTTGCCCAAATGTTGTAGGCACTGAAAAAATAACTGTTGAATAAATACTTCTGAGTGTTTCAGCAATGCTTATTGCCCTCCAGTGATCAGGTGACCACCAGGTCACCTCATCGCCTGGTTGTGTCATGAGTGGTCATCTTTTCTGTTTACAGTGTGCCATTTCCAAACAGCCGCCCGCATCATCCCTGTAGCCTGTGGACTCCCAAAACCCAGCCCCTTCTTCTGGGAAGCGAGAGACCAGCTGTTCTGAAGGCTCAGAAACCTTCAGCTGTTCGCAATTTTATGATTCGTAAAATCATGAATCAGGAATATAGGAAAAGCTGTTGCTATAAGCAGCTAAGTGCTGAATAAAGAAGTTGGAAAGCTCTTCACCTCTGTGAAGCGTAATCTGACTACCCCATTCAGTAGAGTGAGGGACAGGGGAGGTCGTCTCATCCATCCCTCTGCCTGGGGTAAGGCCCTGCCCACAAGGTTTCCCGCGGAAGAAAATCTGCCTAGTGTGTTTGGCCTTCTTTGAAGAATGTGTGTACTGGAAAATGCCTTTTTCTGTTAAACCTATGCTCACCATACCTTGGTAGAAACCTATTTCATCTGTCCATGTTGAAACCATTGCTTTAGTCAGCATTGAGTACCTGTGCTGGGGAATCCACTAAGCCCAGGGCATCACCTGGCCACATGGCACTCCTGGGGTGTGAAGGGCCACTAGACAGTCCACCAGAGATGGAGAGCGAGGGATCCGGCCTGATGGGCCAGGGTCACAATGTAGCTCCCATACTGGTTTCCTGCACATGTTCTGTCCTCCAGTCCATTCTTCCTGAGGCAGCCACACTGGTCTCTGCCGATTGTCAATCTGTTATCTCTTGGTCAGCACCTGCCTCCATCAGGAACCCAGCAAGAAGCAGATGTCCCTCAAGGATTTAACCAAAAGGAGTTGATGGAAAACCACACAGGCCACTGACAGAGATGCGGGGAGGTTGCGGGAACCACGTGGGAAGTTGCTGCATCTGGGGCCTAGCCAGGGCAGGAACCTTCACCCACCCCCAAGGCTTGATGGGCCCAGAGGGAGATGGAAGGAGTTTCTGAAAGCTGGTGAGAGCTGTGGCCCTGGGGGAGGGGTGGCGTAACAGGAGCAGCAGCTGTAAGGGACCAAAGATGACAGCCATTGACGCTATCATCACAGTCCTGAAGGGAGGAAGGGAAGAGACATAAGTACTCCAGCCTCTCTCTTCCCACCTTCCCATCCCCTGCCAGTGCTTCCCATTGGCCAAACTCAGCTGGAAGCCAAAGGGCACAGGAAGCCAGGTAACACAGCTGGAGAGAACTTCCTTCTCCTTCAGAGAGTGCAGAGAATGGCAGACAGGGAATGGTTTCACCACCAGATCAGATCATTAAATGGTTGCCTGCTCTCATGATGAGGATGGGAAGTGCTAATGTACCAAGGCCCTGTGTGGCCTGGCCCCTGGTGACCTCACCCTGGCCTTCTCTAGTTGGCTGCTACCTGTGCTGCACCCCCTGCCCACAGCACTCTCCTCAGCTCTTCCTCTGGTTGCACTCAGCCCTTAGATCCCAGCTTCATCGTCACTTCCTCAGAGAGGCCCGCCCAGATTCTCCTGGTCCAAGTCAGGTCCTCTTCTCCCTCTTTTGTAACATGCCCTGTTCCCTTTCCTTGTTTTTATGAGTTTATCTCTGTGTGTTGATTTCGGATATCCCTCCTCCTGGACTAGAAGCTAGTCTAGAGCTTGGGAGTCCAGGAAATGCTTGTCAAACAAGTGAATAAGTGTCGCCCTTGTCAGGATGTGTGGGTAAGCGGAGGGAATCAACAAAACCTGAGCAAGTATGACATTGGGTTTGAGTTTCATGGAGTATTTTTCATCCATAATGAAAAATACTTTTTAAATTGTCCTACGGTTGGTTGGAAGAGACACTACTGACAAATAGAAGTTTTAATCAAGGATGGAAATACCATGCACTTTTAGGAACATGTAATTAACTTATTGCTCACTCATTTACATCGTCGTGCCATTAAGAAACAGAAAGAACAGGCTGGGCACAGTGGCTTGTGCCTGTAATCTCAGCACTTTGGGAGGCTGAAGCAGGTAGATCACTTGGGGCCAGGAATTTGAGACCAGCCTGGCCAACGTAATAAAACGTCACCTCTACTAAAAATACAAGAATTAGCTGGGCATGGTGGCACACACCTGTAATCCCAGTTACTTGGAAGTCTGAGGTGGGAGAACTGACTGAACCCAGGGGGTGGAGGCTGCAGTGAGCTGAGATCACACCACTACCCTTCAGCCTGAGTGACAGAGCGAGACTCCATCTCAAAAAATAATAATAAAGGAAACAGAACATAACTCACTTGCCCTGGGTGAATGTTCTGGCAGGTGTCTTGGCCTTTTTGTGCACTTTTAGCAATAGTCTGCCCAAAGGCCACTGAGCCTCTATTTAATTTGGTCATGAGAGCATCACATCCAAGATATTCCTCAAATCTCCAAATGTGACTCATTAACAGATCTTCTCCCTTCCTGGTTCAGGCCTCCTTCCACCCGGAAGCCTCGATGGGTGGGGAGCCTGGTTATGTCTCCTGCTTCGGCACCTTGCCCTTCTGCTCCTCCCAGCCCTGCCCACTCAAAACCAAACAGAGAGAGTTCCATTCTAACTTCCTGTTGCAATGAATTTCCTTTTTAAATTTTTTTTTCTTCTTTAAACCTCAGATCTACCAGAGGAATACAGTGAATTTTCAAAATAACCTTTGTTGAGATGACTTACAAAAAGTATACTTATGTCACACAAATGTTCAAAAGAACTAAACCTTCTAAACATTCTGCATCAGTCAGCTATTCCTATGATAAAGCTGTGTAACAAACCACCCCAGAGCTCAGTGACAAGACTGACATTTCTTTCTGGCTCACACATCTGCGGGTCTGCTGGTGTCTGACTGGACTTTGTTCCAGGTCTTCTCCAGGGGTCTCTCATCTTCTGGGACCAGTAGACTACTTGGGGTCTGTTCATCCCACAGTAATGGCAGGAGCTTAGGAGGCAATCCCTCGACTTCAAGACACACACACACACACACACACACACACACACACACACACTCTCTCTCTCTCTCTCTCTCTCTCTCTCTCTTTTTAAGCATTTACTTGGAAGCCATTGGCCAAATCAAGTCACATGACCAAGATCTGTGGGGTGTGCCTGCCTGCGAAGGTATAGAGGAGGGAGTGAATTTTTGCCAAACTGTAATCTGATCTGCTATACAGTGTATGTGTATTTAAAACAAGAATACCTGAAGTTGGACAGTCCTTGGGGAATTACCCTTTGATGTCAGAGGATGTTCAAACATCTGCTTTATAGAATATGTGTTTGTGCCCTGAGACCTCTTTTTTTGAGACGGAGTCTTGCTCTGTCACCCAGGCTGGAGTGCAGTGGCACCATATTGGCTAACTGAAATCTCCACCTCTCAGGTTTAAGCAATTCTCCTGTCTCAGCCTCCCAAGTAGCTGGAACTACAGGCACCCACCACCATGCCTGGCTAATTTTTGTATTTTTAGTAGAGATGGGGTTTCACCATTTTGGTCAAGCTGGTCTAGAACTCCTGACCTCAGGTGATCTACCTGCCTCAGCTTCCCAGAGTGTTGGGATTATAGGCGTGAGCCACCTCGCCTGGCCCACATTTTATTAGATTTCTAATCTGGTTAGCCAGCAACTTACTAATTAGATGTGGACTTTCATTCTTCAGAAGGAAACCGTTTGACCAGGTGTGGTTACTCACACCTGTAATCCCAACACTTTGGGAAGCCCAGGAGGTAGGATGGCTTGAGCCCAGGAGTTCGAGACCTTGTCTCTACAAAAAATAAACAAAATTGGCTGGGCATGGTGGTGTGAGCTTACAGTCTTAGCTATTTGGGAGGCTAAGGCAGGATTGCTTGAGGCCAGGAGGTCAAATATGCAGTGTGCTATGATTACAGCACTGCACTCCAGCCTGGGTGACAGAGTGAGACCTGTCTCCATTAAACAAAACAAACAAAAGAAAACTCTATTCCTATTTTTTGATCAAATATTTTCTTTCTACAGTGTCTGAGTACATTTCTTCCCACTGTCTAAATAATCTCTCCCTTCACAGTATGGCTGTGACCCGATCCAAAGACGCTCCTCCTTTCGGCCCCCCCATCCCCAGCGGAACCACATTCCGCAAATCCGACGTCTTCAGAGACTTCTTGCTGGCCAAGGTGATTAACGCCGAGAACGCCGCGCACAAGTCCGACAAGTTCCACACCATGGCCACCAGGACCCGCCAGGAGTATCTCAAGGACCTGGCTGAAAACTGTGTCTCCAACACCCCCATCGACTCCACAGGCAAATTCAACCTCATCTCCCTGACCTCCAAGAAGAAGGAAAAGACAAAAGCACGGGCCGGCGCTGAGCAGCACAGCGCAGGGGCCATCGCCTGGAGGGTGGTGGCTCAGGACTACGCCCAGGGGGTGGAAATTGACTGCATTTTGGGAATTTCCAATGAGTTTGTGGTGCTCCTGGACCTACGCACCAAGGAGGTGGTGTTCAACTGCTACTGTGGAGATGTCATTGGCTGGACCCCAGACTCCTCCACACTCAAAATCTTCTATGGACGAGGGGACCACATCTTCTTACAGGCAGCAGAGGGCTCTGTGGAGGACATAAGGGAGATTGTGCAAAGACTGAAGGTAAGGGAGACAGCCCAGCGATGGGCAGTGGTTGGTATGGTTTCAGTCTCAGGGACCACTGAAATACTTCCCTAGCCCAGTCAGTTAGGCTAAGACATTCACTGGCCCCAAGAGAATCACAGTTGTCACAGACACACTAGACATCATGTGGATTCTGCAGCTAGGTTCTTCCTCTGGAAGATTTGTGCCAGGGATCTGAGGCTCTTTATGCTATTACCTTGGAAGGACAAGAGACATACTTATTAATCTTGGACGTTGATAGAAAGTTTAAGTTTAGGTTAAAAATGTAAACTGGGCACTGTGGCTCATGCCTGCAATCCCAGCACTTTAGGAGGCTGAGGCACGTGGATTGCTTCAGCCCAGGGATGCCAGACCAACCTGGATAACCATAGTGAGACCCTGTCTTAAAAAAAAAAAGAAAAAAAAAGAAAATTAGCAAAGTGTGGTGGTGCATGCCTGTGGTCCCAGCTACTCGAGAGGCCGAGGTGGGAGAATTGTTTGAGCCCAGGAGGTTAAGGCTGCAATGAGCTGAGATCACACCACTGCACTCCAGCCTGGGCAACAGAATGAGACCCTGTCTCAAAAAAAAGAGTACTTTCTAAAATAATTAAAATAGGATGAAAAATGTCCAAATCATTAAAGGACAGGGCAGCGATAAGAGGAGGGAAAAAATACAAGAAAGCACAAAGGAACATAAAATTATTTGGCAGGAATAAGTTCCATGTTAGTAATCACAATAAATGTGAATGGCTTAACTTGCCCTATTAAAAGACAAAGACTCACAGTCTAGGTAGAAATCTTCCCCTAAACTCCTCATGGACAAACCAAGAGTGGCAGATTGGTGACACCTTAGTTGCTGTCTGCCTGAAGCATTGTACTGAGAAGTACTCAGGCCACATCTAAGCTCCACAAAAAAAGAGCACTGTGGTCAGTGATTGCCTCTGCAGTGGGCTTAGCAGAATGGTGTGCCATGCATGCTAAATAGAGATACCATATAACACAGCAGTTCAAAGCACAAGCTCTGGTGTCAGAAGGCCTGGCTTCAAGTCCTAGCACTGCTGCTTACCAGCTGCATGACCTTGAGCCAAGTTATTTAGCTTCTTTGTGACTCAGTTTCTTTACCTGAAAAGCAGGAACAAGAATCATTTTGCATTGCTGGGTGCAGTGGCTTATGCCTATAATCCCAACACTTTTGAGAGGCCGAAGAGGGAGGATTGCTTTGAGCCCAGGAGTTTCAGACTAGCCTGGGCAACATAGTGAGACCCCATTTCTTAAAAAAAAAAAAAAAAAAAAAAATTAAATTAGCCAGGCATGGTGGTGTACACTTGTGGTCTCAACTGATCAGGAGGCTGAGTGGGATGATTGTCTGACCCCAGGAGTTTGAGGCTGCAGTGAGCTGTGATGACACCTGCAATCCAGCCTTGGCAACAGAGCAAGACCCTGACTCAAAAAAACAAAAATTAAAAAGTGGCCAGGTGTGGTGGCCGACGGCTATAATCCCAGCATTTTGGGTGGCTGAAGTGGGCAGATCATTTCAGGTCAGGAGTTTGAGACCAGCCTGGCCAATATGGTAAAACCCTGTCTCTACTAAAAATACAAAAATTAGCTGGGCATGGCGGCATGTGCCTGTAATCCCAGCTACTTGGGAGGCTGAGAGAGGAGAATTGCTTGAACCCAAGAGGCAGAGGTTGCAGTGAGCTGAGAGTGAGCCTTACTGGGCACCAGCCTGAGTGACAGAGCAAGACTTCATCTCAAAACAAACAAACAAAAGCAAACTCCTGTGTTCCTCCCCACCCCTCTCAAAGGTTTCCTGAGTTCGTAAAACAGAAGTCGTCTACTCAAGTAAGGTTTTAGGAAGAAAAAAAAAAGTCAAGTCCATCCCTCTGTTTGCTGATGTCACAGCCTTGACATCAGCCTGGGCTCCATTCTCCCTCATGGCCACATTCATCAGCTCCACTTCCGTAGGCAGACACCAGCCACCTTCCCCTCTTCCACAGCCCCCACCCTGGTGCAAGCCACCCTGGCTTCTCCCAGACACTTGCAGTGGTGTCCTTTCTGGTCCCTCTTGCCCCTACCCTCGCTTCTCTGTGGCCTGTTCTCAACATGGTAGTGAGAGCAATCTCATCACATCACCTTTCTGCTATAAACCCTCAGGTCACTGTAGGTTAAAGGCTGGGGCCTTACGGAAACTCTTGAGGCCTAGTGTGATCTGGCTTCCTGTTGACTTCTCTGACCTCATCTCACTGTTGCTTTCTGCCCCAGCTATGCAGACCTCTGGGATTTCATGTGCATGCTCTGGAGGCGTCCAGCCTTAGGGCCTTTTTACCATCTGTGCCTGTCGCTGGAACACTTCTCTGAGAACCACATGGCTCACTCCCTTTCCTCCTACAGGCCTTTGGTCACATGTCACCTTGTCAGTGGGGCCTTGTTATCTAAGATTGCACCCCCCACACACTGGCTTGGAGCACACTCCCCTGCTTTGCCTACTTCACCACCGTCTGCCGTGCACTGTGTTATCTGTTCGCTGCTGTGTCCTCAGCACCTAGGCCAGCATCCAATGCACAGTAGCTGCTGAGTGAGCAGGACCCAAGCGTGGGCACAAATGCACCCTACCCTGCAGAGGCTGCAGTAGCGAGCGTCGAGTGGGCGCCAGCTGTGCGTCAGACCCTGCTCAGCACCTCGAGATAGATACCGTTCTCTTCCTCACTTCACAGATGAGGAAACTGAGGCCCACAGAGACCTGGCCTTGACCAGACCCCAAAGAGCCTTTGGGTTTTGTTGTTGTTGTTGTTGTTTTGAGACAGTCTTGCTCTGTCACTCAGACTAGAATGCAGTAGTGACATCTCAGCTCACTGCAGCCTCCACCTCCCAGGTTCAAGCGAGTCTCCCACCACAGCCTCCCGAGTAGCTGGGATTGCAGGCACCCTCTACCACACTTGGCTAATTTTTGCATCTTTAGTAGAGATAGGAATTTGCCATGTTGGCCAACCTGGTCTTAAACTCCTGGCCTCAAGAGATCTACCCACCTCGGCCTCCCAAAGTGCTGAGATTCCAGGTGTGAGCCACCACATCTGACTGAGCCTGGGTTCTTAAACACTAGGCTACTCCACCTCCCCTAGTCTTGACAGCAGCTCACGTTTCTTGAGCAGGCACCATGCCAGGTGACATGTTTTACCCACATCCTCACTGCCTGCCACTCTGTCCCACGCCCACCCCCGTGCCTACTGTTGGTAGAATCCTTTTCAAGCACATTTCCACAGCGATACCCCCAACCCACCACCAATCTCAACGCCCCAGAGCCTGCTGGGGAACCAGTGGGCCAGGGAATGGTGACAGAAGCTATCTCCCATGAAGGGGCAGGCCCTTCTTGAGTGACTCATGACAGCAAGTCTCTCTCTTTGTGAAGCACCCACAGGGAGCAGATTCCAGACTCTCCCCAGCAGCCAACTCAACTGCCCCAGACTTCCCAAACTAATGGTGTCCCATCATTTGTTATTTTGTGTGTGTGGTTTTGTTTTTTTTTCTTTTTGAGATGGAGTCTCTCTCTGCCCAGGCTGGAATGCAGTGGTGTGATCTCTGCTTACTGCAACCTCCACCTCCTGGGTTCAAGCGTATCCCATCTTTTGCTAATTGAATGAGTGTTATTATGTGCCTGGCCTTGGCCTGGGCAGTGCTGGGACATAGTGGTGACCGTAACACGCCCATGGGGCTCCTGTCTGGGACAGGTATTAAATATGCAATTAAAAGTGCCAAGAGCTTAAAAGCGGGGTGTGGAGGGTACCAGGAGAACCTATCAGAGGGTGTTAAATCAGACAAGGCGAAGGTCTTAAATCCACGGGTTGGATACAGTCCCAGACATATTTAGTTAGTTACAAAAGTTTAACATTCAGAGCAAGCTTGTCCAGCCCGCAGCCCAAGACAGTTTTGAATGGCACCAAACACAAATTCATAAACTGAGTTTATAAATTCATAATGTCTTAAAGTATTATGACATTATTAGTTTTTTGTGTGTGTTTTCTTTAGCTTATCAGCTATCATTAGTGTTTTATGTGTGGCCCAAGACAATTTTTCTTTTCTTTGAGACAGAGTCTCACTCTGTTGCCCAGGCTGGAGTGCAGTGGCACAATCTCGGCTCACTGCAACCTTAGCCTCCCAGGTTCTAGTGATTCTTATGCCTCAGCCTACCACGTAGCTTAGAATACAGGCATGCAACACCACGCCTGGGTCATTTTTGTGTTTTTGGTGCAGACAGAGTTTTGCTGTGTTGGCCAGGCTGGTCTCAAATTCCTGGTCTTAATCCACTGGCCTCAGCCTCTCAAAGTGCTGGTACTAGAGATGAGAGCCACCATGCCCGGCCCCAAGACAGTTCTTCTTCCAGTATGGCCCAAGGAAGCTGAAAGATGGGACACCCCTGATTTAGAGGATTTTGGCTGGGTGCAGTATCTCATGCCCGTAATCCCAGAGCTTTGGGAGGCTGAGCTGGGAGGATTACTTGAGATTAGGAAATCAAGACTAGCCTGGGCAACAGAGTGAGACCCCATTTCTATCACAAAAGAAAAGAAAAAAAAAAAGGTTGGGCGCAGTGGCTCATGCCTGTAATCTCAACTCTTTGGGAGGCCAAGGCAGGCAGATCACCTGAGGTCAGGAGTTCGAGACCAGCCTGGCCAACGTGGTAAAACCCTGTCTCTACTAAAAGTATAAAAATTAGCTGAGTGTTGTGATAGGCACCTGTAATCACAGCTACTCAGGAGCCTGAGGCAGGAGAATCACTTGAACCCGGGAGGTGGAGGTTGCAGTGAGCGGAGATCTGACCACTGCACTCTAGTCTGGGTGACAAGAGCAAAACTCTGTCTCTTAAAAAAAAAAAAAAAAAAAAGAAGGAAGAACAAGAGGTAGATGTTTCATCACTTCATATCCTGTTGGCCAAAACTGAGTCATATGTCATACCCAGCTACAAAGGAAGCAGAGAAATGTGGTCCCCAACTAGTTGGCCACGTGCCCATCAAAACTCTGTTTTACAGAGGAGCTTGGTCCTAATTACTGAAAGGCAGTGGGGGACGGGGGCGCGAATGGAAAACTAACGGTGTTGGCAGGCCTTGCCACAGCAGTGTTTGTTGAGCTGTTGCCTGCTCTCTCTCTGGACTGTATGAAAGGTTGGGCCTTCCAAGGGGAACAGCCCAGGATGCTGAGGGCTGGTGTGGCCTAATTGGTTGTGGGCACAGACACACAGGACTTTGCTTTATAACCCACAGCCAAACTCCTTGGACACAAGAGGGACAGCTTCAAAGGGAAGAATTTTGACTCCCAGAGCAAAGTAATGGGCTAGGATGAATCTAGCCACAGCGTTCTCTTTTGAGGCACTGAGCAGCACCTTTCCTTTCAAACCAATTTTATTAATTTTTGAGTTGGAGTCTCACTCTGTCTCCCAGGCTGGAGTGCATTGGTGCGATCTCAGCTCACTGCAGCCTCCGAGTCCTGGGTGCAAACAATTCTCCTGCCTCAGCCTCCTGAGGAACTGGGATTACAGGTGTGTGCCACCACACCTGGCTAATTTTTTTTTTTTAGTAGAGATGGGAGTTCACCATGTTGGCCAGGCTGGTCTTAAACTCCTGACCTTAGCTGGTTTGCCTGCCTCAGCCTCCCACAGTGCTGGGATTGCAGGCACGAGCCACTGCACCCAGCCCAATTCTGTTTTTTAATCATAGAAAATAGCAAGCATACACTAAGGCAGAGGGAACTGTTTAAGAACCCCAGTCTTGGCCAAGTACATTCTCTTTCCCAATTACTTTGAAGCAAATCCTAGACATCCTATAATTCATCCATAAACTTTTCAATATTTATTTCTAAAAGTTACAAACTCTTAAAACATAACTATCTTGTCATCATACATAAAATAAAAAATTAACAATAATTCTTTACTGTCAAATGAACACATTGCCACCCATGAATAGGCTATAAAATCAATCACAGAGACATATTTTTTTTTATTTTTAATTTTAACTTTAATATTTATTTATGTTTTTGAGACAGAGTCTCACCCTGTCATCCAGACTGGAGTGCAATGGTGCAATCTTGGCTCACTGCAACCTCTGTCACCCGGGGTCAAGCGATTCTCCTGCCTCAGCCTCCCAAGTCTGAGTAGCTGTGATTACAGGCGTCTGCCACCATGCCCTGCTAATTTTTTGTGTATTTAGTAGAAACAGGGTTTCATCATGTTGGCCAGGCTAGTCTCGAACTCCTGACCTCATGATCTGCCTGCCTCTGCCTCCCAAAGTGCTGGGATTACAGGCATGAACCACTGCACCCTTAACTTTAATTTTTAAAGACAAGGTCTTACTCTGTCACCCAGGCTGGAATGCAGTGGCACGGTCCTAGCTCACTGCAGCAACAGTCTCCTGGGCTCAAGCCAGCCTCCCACCTCAGCCTCCCGTGTAGCTGTGTAGAGCTGAGACTGCAAGCATGTGCCACCATGCTCAACTAATTTTTTTTTTTTTTTTTTTTTTTTGGAAGAGACAAAGTCTTGCTATGTTGCTCAGGCTCATCTTGAACTCCTGGGCTTAAGCAGTCGTCCTACCTTGGCCTCCCAGAGTTCTGAGATTACAGGCGTGAGGCACTGCACTCAGCCTGAGTTACAACAGTATTAAAGGTTACATGTCTTAGTCCATTTAGCCTGAATATTATAAAATACCTTAGACGGGTAGCTTATAAGCAAGAGAAATATATTTATTCACAGTTCCGGAGGCCAGGAAGTCCAAGATAAAGGAACCAGCAGGTTCATTATCTGGTGAGGGCCCCTTTCCCCAGGCTGGAGTGCAGTGGTGCAACCTCGGCTCACTGCAACCTCCGCCTCCCAGATTCAAACAATTCTCCTGCCTCAGCCTCCCAAGTAGCTGAGATTACAGGCATGAGCCACCACGTTGGGCCTCTTATAAAGGCACTGATCCCCTTCCTGAGGGTTTTGCTATAGTAATAAGATGGGAAAGAATAAAAAGTGCAGAGGTAGGAGGACCTCTTGAGGCCAGGAGTTTGAGACAAGCCTAGGCATCGTAGTAACCCCAGCTACTCAGGAGGCTGAGGCAGGAGAATCGCTTGCACCCAAGCGGCAGACATTGCAGTGAGCCAAGATCATGCCATTGCACTCCAGCCTAGGTAACAAGAGTGAAACTCTGCCCCAATAAATAAATAAACAAACTCTGCCTCAATAAATAAATAAAATAAGGCCAGGTGCAGTGGCTCATGCCTGTAATCCTAGCACTTTGGGAGGCTGAGGTGGGTGAATCACCTGAGGTCAGGAGCTTGAGACCAGCCTGGCCAACGTGGCGAAACCCGTCTCTGTTAAAAATACAAAAATTAGGCCGGGTGCGGTGGCTCAAGCCTGTAATCCCAGCACTTTGGGAGGCCGAGGCGGGTGGATCATGAGGTCAAGAGATCAAGACCATCCTGGTTAACATGGTGAAACGCCGTCTCTACTAAAAATACAAAAAAAATTAGCTGGGCATGGTGGCGCGTGCCTGTAATCCCAGCTACTCAGGAGGCTGAGGCAGGAGAATTGCCTGAACCCAGGAGGCGGAGGTTGCCGTGAGCCGAGATCGCACCATTGCCCTCCAGCCTGGGTAACAAGAGTGAAACTCCGTCTCAAAAAATATATATATATATATATAAATTAGCCAGGCATGATAGTATATGCCTATAATTCCAGCTACTCAGGAGGCTGAGGCAGGAGAATCACTTGATCCTAGGAGGCAGATGTTGCAGTGAGCTGAGATTGCACTCTAGCCTGGGCGACAGATCGAGACTTTATCTCAAAAATAAATAAATAAATAAATAGGCCGGGCGCGGTGGCTCAAGCCTGTAATCCCAGCACTTTGGGAGGTCGAGGCAGGTGGATCACAAGGTCGAGAAATCGAGACCATCCTGGTCAACGTGGTGAAACCCCGTCTCTACTAGAAATACAAAAAATTAGCTGGGCATGGTGGCGCGTGCCTGTAGTCCCAGCTACTCAGGAGGCTGAGGCAGGAGAATTGCCTGAACCCAGGAGGCAGAGGTTGCGGTGAGCCGAGATCGCGCCATTGCACTCCAGCCTGGGTAACAAGAGCGACACTCTGTCTCAATAAATAAATAAATAAATAAATAAATAAATAAATAAATAAACAAACAAATACCTCAGCCCAGAGGAGATGCCAGTACCACTCTTAACTCATTGGCCAAAACACGTCCCAGGGCCCCATCCAACCACAAGGCAGCCAAGAAGTGCAGTCCCACTAGACCCTAGGAAGGAGGGAGGTCAGGGCCTTTGGAGCCATAGCTCATGACTGCCATGGTCTCTGCGAGGTTGTAAGCCACAGAGTCACATATCCACATTTTCCCTCCGGAAATCAGGAAGCCGGGCTGGGACCAGGTGCGTGTTCCCCCTGCAGGTTCCCTGCCATTGCCCGAGAAGGTTGGAGATGGCAGGTTTTCGGCCTCAAAGTGGGGAATCTGACTGGGGGTCTTCCAGAGGAGCTGGTGCATACAGCTTCTGAGGCTCAATGCTGCCTGTTGCCTGCAGGTGATGACCAATGGCTGGGAGACGGTGGACATGACACTGCGGCGGAACGGGCTTGGGCAGCTGGGCTTCCACGTGAAGTACGACGGCACAGTGGCCGAGGTGGAGGACTACGGGTTTGCCTGGCAGGCCGGCCTCCGGCAGGGCAGCCGACTAGTGGAGATCTGCAAGGTGGCCGTGGTCACACTGACCCACGACCAGATGATTGACCTACTGCGCACCTCTGTCACCGTGAAGGTGGTCATCATCCCGCCTTTTGAGGACGGCACGCCCCGGAGGTAAGGACCTCCGCCTTTCATCCAGGTGGTGGGTGGCAGCTCCCAGAACACTGGCCTGAGGCCTCCCTGGCACTGTCATTTGACATCCCAATAGACGAGGGGTTAGGTAGGCCCTTCTCAGCAGAAATAGTGGCAACAGTGACAGGAGAGAGAGGGCACATCTACAGAGCACTTACTGTAAGCCAGTTACTGATTTATTCCTTCATACAGGCATGAGTACATGTCATCTCCATGGCCGCCCTGTGAGGGAGAGCATCATTCTTCCCGTTTTCTGCACGAAGCACACAATGTTAACAGTCACTTGCCTGCAGGCACACCACACTTCATTCATTTGCTCAGAACGTGTTTATTGAGCCCCTACTATGTGCAAACTCTGTTCAAAGTGACTACAGCAAAGTGTCTGATCCCTTGCAGTTTGTGTTCCACAGGGAGAGACAGGCAGTGAAGAAATAGGGGTGTCATACAGGATCAGGTAGTGCAAAGTCTCAGAAGGAAATTAAATCAGGGTAATGAAGGGGCTACAGTGTGATTGCGGGCAGAGAAGGCTCTGTGAGGCTCCACAGGGAGGCAGCCATATGGTTTTCTGGCCAGCAGCCTCCAGATGGGAGCCGAGCAGGGCACAGCCTCCGCAGTGTGCATGGCCTCCCCAGCGTACATGGGTGGTGCGTTCCTAGAGTGCAGGGAGGCCCATGTGGCTGGAGCAAAATGAGCAGGAGTGAGAACTAAGAGCAAAGAACAGAGAGGTGACCGGGCAGATGGTGTGGGCTTCATGGGCCATGGAGCAGTTTGGGTTTTATTTCAGGCCCAATGGGAAGCTGGTAGGTATGGTAGGTGACTTATTTCTTTTGTTTCTGTTGCCCAGGCTGGAGTATGGTGGCGGGATCTCAGCTCACTAAAACCTCTACCTCCCTGGTTCAAGTGATTCTCTTGCTTCAGACTCCCAAGTAGTTGGGACTATAGGCACCCACCACCACGCCCGGCTAATTTTTTGTATTTTTAGTAGAGTTGGGGTTTCACCATGTCGCCCACGCTGGTCTTGAATTCCTGACCTCTGTCGCCCAGGCTAGAGTGCAGTGGCAACATCTTGATTCAGTGCAGCCTCTGCCTCCCAGGTTCAAGTGATTCTCCTGCCTCAGCCTCAGCAATAGCTGGGACTACAGACATGTAACACTATTCCCAGCTAATTTTTGTATTTTTTGGTAGAGATAGGGTTTCACCATGTTGCCTAGGCTGGTCTTGAACTCCTGACCTCAAGTTATCTGCCTGCCTCAGCCTCCCAAAGCGCTAGAATTACATGCATGACCCACCTCACCTGGCTTATGTTAATCACCTTAACCGTAATTTCTTTTCTTTCTTCCTTTTTCTTTTTTTTTTTTTTTTAAGCTGGAGCTTGCTCTGTTGCTCAGGCTGGAGGACAGTGACACAATCTTGGCTCACTACAACCTCCGACTCCCAGGTTTAAGCAGTTCTCTGCCCAGCCTCCCGAGCAGCTGGGATTACAGGCGGACACCACCACACCTGGCTAATTTTTGTATTTTTAGTAGAGATGAAGTTTCACCATCTTGGCCAGGCTGGTCTTGAACTCCTGATCTCATGATCCACCTGCCTCAGCCTCCCAAAGTGCTGAGATTACAGGCGTGAGCCACCTTGCCTAGCTTTTTCCTTGTAGTTAATTTTGGAAAGAAACCAGGTCACCTGTCCTTAGAGCTTCCTCTTCCTGGCTTTAGCTGGTGGCCTCCCCATGGTGTCTGTTAGCCTGTTGCTCCACCACTAGGATTTTCTGCAAACTAGAGTCAAAGATGGCAGCTTGCTCAGGCCCCAGTTGGATGTCTTTCAGCCGCAGCACTCCTAGGTATGCATCTGTGAGAAGGCACTGTGTGTCTCGTGCCCCTCTGCAAGTGACGCCAAGGGTGAGCAGAGGCTTCAGACAGCAGCCCCTGGCCATTGCCATATGTCCCCTTCAGCCCTGATTCATGGCCTAGCAGCCACTGCTAGACATTGCCTAGATCCATCATTTCATGACGGGTTGCAGATGCAGACAAGCGGGCCACCTTCATTCTGTCGTTCCTTCTTCATGTATTGGCTGGAATGCTTCTGAAAAGAGCTTTTCCTTCAGTAACTGTTTAGTTACCCTGAGATATAATTTGTACAAGGAAGGCAAGATAAATACAGTTTTCAGAATAATGAGTTTGTCCCTAGCAACCTCCCGAAGTGACCAGTGAGAGAGACCCACCATGTTCCCATCTCTGGAAACAGTGCACAGAGGACAGCTGAGGCCTTGGCCTCATGGAGTGAGGTCCCAGTGGGCCAGGGAGACAAACAACACAAGCAAACGAATGAGATGATTTCAGATTACAGAGGGGGAGGCAGGAGAGCATAGTCGGGGATGCAGGCTCTGCAGCGAGGCTGTCTTGATTTGAATCCCAGCTCTTCCTCTTGTTACCTGCTACCCTAGGGAAGTGGCCTCTCCAGCCTGTGCCCGCATTTCCTCATTTGTAAAATGAGAGCTTTTGTGAAGTTGAAGGAGTTCCAACTTGTAAAGCACATAAGACAGGCCAGACCCAGTAAGCGGCTCATGCCTGTAGAGTGCTGGTGGCTCTCAGCACTTTCGGAGACTTAGGCAGGAGGATCACCTGAGCCCAGGAGTTCAAGATCAGCCTAGGCAACATAGCAAGACCTCAACACATTTTTTTTTTTTGAGACACAGTTTTGTTCTTGTTTCCCAGACTGCAGTACAGTGGCATGATCTCAGCTCACTGCAAGCTCTGCTTCCTGGGTTCAAACGATTCTTGTGCCTCAGCCTCCCAAGTAGCTGGGACTACAGGCATGCATGTGCCACCACACCTGACTAATTTTTGTATTTTTAGTAGCGACGGGGTTTCACCGTGTTGGCTAGGCTAATCTCGAACTCCTGAACTCGTGTGATCTGCCCACCTCGGCCTCCCAAAGTGCTGGGATTACAGGCGTGAGCCACTGTGCCCAGCCCAAATTTTTAAAAATTAGCTAGTTGTGATGGCACATGCATGTAGGCTCAGCTACTCAGGGTTGAGCCTGCGGTGAGCTATAATCACACCTCTGCACTCAAGCTTTCTCAAAAAAAAAGAAAAAAAGCCCATGACAGGCGTCCGCAAACTATGGCCCACAGGCTGCATGCGGCCCCCTGAGGCCCCCCGCCGCACTTCAGGAAGGGGCACCTCTTTCATTGGTGGTCAGTGAGAGGAGCACAGTATGTGGTGGCCCTCCAGCGGTCTGAGGGACAGTGAACTGGCCCCCTGTGTAAAAAGTTTGGGGACGCCTGGCCCATGGGATAGGACTTGGCCTATAGGGGGTGCTCGAGAGACACTAGTGCTGAGATACTGGATGTGAGGACTGTGAAGGGCACATAACCCACATGGACATGGTGGTCTGGGAAGGCCTGAAAGTGAGAGCAAAGGCCCTCGGCTGGGTGACAGACCAGAAAGAGGGCCTGTGCGGCTGCATCAGATTGAGCCAAGGGGAGGGCACAAACTGGGGTGATGATGAGTGCCATATTCACATAGGACTTTGCTGGGCTCCCACCAGAGCTGGTGTGATCTCCACTTTACAGATGAGAAAACTGAGGCCCAGGGCAAACAAGTCCCTTTGCAGAGTTGCACAGCTTGTAAGTAGTAAAGCAGAATTCAAATCCAGGTCAGCCTGTCTCCATGATACTCTGCAGCAGGCATCCCCAAACTTTTTACACAGGGGGCCAGCTCACTGTCCCTCAGACCGTTGGAGGGCCGCCACATACTGTGCTCCTCTCACTGACCACCAGTGAAAGAGGTGTCCCTTCCTGAAGTACGGCGGGGGGGCCGGATAAATGACCTCAGGGGGCCGCGTTCGGCCCGTGGGCCCGTAGGCCCGTAGTTTGGGGACACCTGCTCTGCAGCCTCTGAAAGCCATAACGTGCTGTTAATACACAGGCATACAAATGGTTTCCCCACCCTCACCTTCCTGAGTTGTGCTTGCCCTGGGCAGGCCCAAACCCTGAGCCTGAGGGTGTGGCCACACCTACCCACACACCCCCAATGGCTCAGCCTCAGGACTCTAGTCACACCCCAGGTGTCTTCTGGTCCCAGCCCTCTTCCCCTGCCACCTTCCTCCTCTGCTTGGAGCCAAGGCCCAGCCACACCTGCTCAGATCTCTGCAGGGGCAAGTCAAGGCCAGATAACCCCACAGGCGAGTGCCCTGGTGGCTGTGCTCCTCAGGGAAGGACAGACACCCTGTCCACACACTCCCACATGTGCCCGTGACAAGCCAGCTCGCCCATCGCATGACTATCACCCCAAACATGCAGGTAGGGACAAACTAAAATTCAAAGAAAAGTCTGGGATTCTCCAGCTTTGGGAAGACAGGGCCAGGGAGAGTGCAACCAGTCAGACGAGTTCTTTTCCCTGCCCTGTTCAGGAGAAAGACTTACCCTCCTGTTCCCTTTACACTGCGGCTGCTGAAACAGGCGTGGGTTGGGACTTGGGTGGTTTTTGTTGTTCTTCAAATGCAGAGGTGTGTAGCTGACCTCATTTGCAGAGCTGATAACCCCAGCTCTGGGCTCTCTAGCCTCTTGATGCCACCCCTGGCTCAAATGTCTGTTGCAGTGAGCTCTGAGGGGAACAGTGAGAACGGGACAGAAGGGCCCTCGCTGCCACCAGCCAGGGCTCATGGCATGCACACCGACCCCATGCTCTCAGACACTTAAAAGAATGCACAGCCTCTTCCTCCTACTGCCAGGCCACAAGGCTGGAGTTTCTGTGTGTGTTTGTTTTGTCTGTCGCCCTAGCTGGAGTGCAATGGCTGGAGTACAGTTGTTTTTAAGGATTAAAATGACGTAGCAGGGCATCCCTCTCTCCTACCCCCATCCTCCAGTTTCACCTGCCGGAAGCAACCACTGCTCCCAGTTTCTCATGCATTCTTTCAGAAATATTTTATACAGGAAATCAAATATTTAAAATAGTAATAAAATCCAAGTGCAGTGGCTCATGCCT